TCACTACTAAAAATACAAAAAATTAACTGGGCGTGGTGGCACATGCCTGTAATCCCAGCTACTTGGAAGGCTGAGGCAGGAATTGCTTGAACCTGGGAATCAGAGGTTGCAGCGAGCCAAGATCATACCACTGCACTCCAGCCTGGCAACAGAGCGAAACTCCATCTCAAAAAAAAAAGACATTAATCTACAGAATTATTACAGATGAGTTTTCTTAAAGACTGGTTCAGTTAACTTTATTAGTGCCTACTGTGTGCTACTGACCAACTATCATGTTTAGGATCCTTTGTTAAAATGGATCAAAATTTGAACTCGCAACTCAGGTTACTTCAACAGCCACTGGCAGTTAGGTTATTCAAACATGGCTTCATTACAATTGGCATTAAGGTCTTTTTATTTTTTTCCTTTAGAGAGAGAAAGTGGCGGGGCAGTGGGGAAGGGGTCTCACTATGTTGCCTAGGCTGGTCTCCGACTCCTGGGCTCAAGTAATCCTCCCACATCAGCCTCCCAAAACACTGGGATTATAAGTACAAGTCACTGTGCCTGGCCTGGCATTAGGGTCTTAAGCTCATTTTGTTCTGTTCCTTGGGAAATAATTTGGCCAGAACAATTAGTATTCATAAGTGGCAAGCTAAATTAAGCATGTGATTCATACCCAGGATAAGGCAAGTTCTCTTAGGATCAAAAGAGCCCACGAGGCAAAGGCTTCCTCCAGTTGGCCTAAATATGGGTTTATTGCAGTCTGTGTGACCACCTGTGTAGGTGGATAAGGAGATGAGAGGGCAATGGGACATTTGCCTAGTGGCCTGTATGCTTTTTCACATGCATTTTTTCAGGTTGAAATCATCAGTTAATCCAGCAATTTTCTTTTTTTTTTTTTTGAGACAGAGTCTGGCTCTGTTGTCCAGGCTGGAGTGAAGTGGATGCAATCTCGACCCACTGCAACATCTGCCTCCCAGGTTCAAGTGATTCTCCTGCCTCAGCCTCCCCAGTAGCTGGGATTACAGGCACCCACCACCACGCTCGGCTAATTTTTGTCTTTTAGTAGAGACAGAGTTTCACCATGTTGGCCAGGTGGGTCTCGAACTCCTGACCTTGGGTGATCTGTTGGCCTCAGCCTCCCAAAGTGCTGGGATTACAGGCATGAGCCACTGCACCTGACCAATTCAGCAAATTTATGTGGGATTCCACCTAGAACTCCAAACCAAGGTACTCCGAATATGTATCAGGTAGCATAAACAGAATCCACAGTCCCTACCCCCGATTATAACCTTGTTAGGGAGGTAGCAAAATACATGACAATGACCTAAGAACACATGAAAAGCAAAGAAACATGAATGTGATGTGGGCTGTTTAAATACTGAGAAAGATGAATATAAGTTGCATCTATCCTACTGATCTTTAATGAGTGATTCACTTGTCTCTCTCCTCCAGTAGACATGACTAGGCATGACCCATAGAGTATTGAACTTTGTATTCCCAGCACCTACCAAAGTAAGTGACACAGAGAAGACACCCCACAAGTGTTGAATAAAACACCTAATGAATGGTTCTAGGTAGGTGGGGTTCATCAAGGAATTATCCTATAAGTGATATGGGTTTTTTGGGTTTTTTTGAGATGGGGTCTCAAAATGTTGCCCAGGCTGGTCTCAAACTCCTGGCCTCAAGTTATCCTCCTGCCTTGATCTCCCTAAGTGCTGGGATTACAGGTGTGAGCACCTGTGCCCAGCCTCAGTTTTAATAAAATTTTTTCCTGATTACAAAAGTAAACAGAGAATTCATAAAGTACTAAAGAAAATACACATTATCTTGGTCCATACATCTAGAAAAAAAATCACTATTATTGTTTCCTTCTACTGTGTGTGTGTGTGTGTGTGTGTGTGTGTGTGTGTGTGTGTGTGTGATGGAGTCTCTGCCATCCAGGCTGGAGAGCAGTGGTGCAATCTTGGCTTACCACAACCTCTGCCTCCTGGGTTCAAGTGATTCTTCTGCCTCAGCCTCCTGAGTAGCTAGGATTACAGGTGCGCACCACCATGCCTGGCTAATTTTTGTTTTTTTAGTAGAGACGGGGTTTCACCATGTTGGTCAGGCTGTTCTTAAACTCCTGACCTTGTAATCTGCCTGCCTCAGCCTCCTAAAGCGCTGGGATTACAGGCGTGAACCACCGAGCCCAGCCTCCTCTTTTTTTTTGAGACAGTCTTGCTCTGTCACCTAGGCATGATCTCAGCTCACTATAACCTCCCACTCCTGGGTTCAAGCAATTCTCGTGCCTCAGCACCTAAGTAGCTGGGATTACAGGCATGTGTCACCACACCCGGCTAATTTTTGTATTTTTAGTAGAGGCATGGTTTCACCATGTCGGCCAGGCCGGTCCTGAACTCCTGGCCTCAGGTGGTCCACCTGCCTCTGCCTTCCAAGGTGCTGAGATTACAGGTGTTAGCCACTGCACACAACCTAGTCTTTTTTTTATAGAACAGTTATCTCTGTAGCCAAACTTATATCACATTATTTTATTTTCCCTAATTCTGTATTAAAGGAAAGATCATATTATTTTTATTGTCTGCAGGATATTTCATTGATGGGCATTTAGAATGTTTCCATTTTCTATCATAGATACTGCTTTAACGAATATATTTTGTTTATATTGTTCTAAGAACATTTCTTCAGGTTACATTCCTAAACGTGGAATTATTGGGAACACTTTTTTTTCTAATTTTTTTTCATCCCTTCAGTATTTAAAGCATTCTTAAAGTTCTATATAAAGTCATCGAACAATTTTTTCCAAAAAAGTTTAACAACTTACATTTCTACCAGCAGTATGAGAGCTTTTACCCCACTGCACCATCACTATAGGAGAAATCATTTATGTAAGGACCTCTCCTCTGCTATTTAGTAGCCATGAATTTCTTATATAATTGTAATCAGTAAATCCATACTACTTTGGGTTTTGCTGATTTCACAGGGAAGGATTCTATCCCTGTCGATATAGTTCACATCCTGGCCATTTAAAATCATTCTTTAATTCTTCATTGTGTTAACAGATCCCAGTAAGCTTGGTGATTTTCTTATTGTCGGGGCTTGGGGTTCTTTCCAGTTTTTGCTATTAAATTAGCTATTTCTGCATCTTTGCTCAGTCTCCCCTACTTTACCAAGAGTGAAACTGCTTGATCAAAGAATACAAATTGTTTTTGTAGCTCTGGTTAGAAATTGCCAAGCTGTTGGGCAAGGTTTTTTATATTTTTATTATTTTTATTTATTTATTTATTTAGAGACAGTCTCTCGCTCTGTCACCCAGGCTGGAGTGCAGTGGAACGATCTCAGCTCACTGCAACCTCTGGCTCCCGGGTTCCAGCGATTCTCCTGCCTCAGCCTCCTGAGTAGCTGGGATTACAGGCGCATACCACCACGCCCGGCTAATCTTTGTATTTTTAGTAGAGACAGGGTTTTCACCATGTTGGCCAGGCTGGTCTTCAACTCCAGACCTTGTAATCTGCCACCTCCTCCTTCTAAAGTGCTGGGATTACAGGCGTGAGCCACCGCACCCGACCTGAGCAAGGTTTTTTAAAAAGGAATATTGGCTGTACAGAGGTACAGCTGTGTGGACTATCTTTCTTGAGCAGAGACCAGTAGCCTGGCATGTCACCTGGTGTCAGAACATCTAAATTTCCCTATGGAAACTTGGGAAGTCCCTTCCCCATTCCGAATCTCAGTTTTCTTATCTATAAAATGAAGAATTTGGATGGAATGAATGCAGATCCTTTTCTACCAGAAATCTAGCCGTATCCACCTAGTCTGTTCTGTATCACCTTCTCCTGACTCCTAGGGGCTGAAAGTCTAGCGCAGTGCTTAGGACAGTTACACTTCCTTTCCCTTTAAAGTGTCCAAACACTAGTGTAATCAGAGACAGCAGAGCCTGGGAGTTCTGAGCACGAAGCAGGGTCAAATCTCAGCCCTCCACTTACAAGCTATGTGACAAAATAGCCTCTCCCTGGCTCAGTTTTTTCACTAATGAGGTTAATAATTAAGTTCCTACCCTATAGGGTTGTTAGAAGAATTCAATGAGTTAAGGTTTGCAAAATGCTAAGGCACACAGTAAGTGCTTTATAAAGTGTTTGTTGAATAAATAAACTTTGGACCTAAACTCTGGGTCTCTTCAGGACTGCAACAGCTTCGTAACTGGCACCCCCACTTTTGGGTGCGTTCCCACTCCTCTTTCCAAAACCCAGAGATCTGAATGCCAAATCTGTCTGCTTCAAGAACTGCGCCCAGGACTCCCAGGCGCCTCCAGGCTAGAACAAAAATGCCTCAGCTTGAAGACCCAGGCTTTTCAGGTGGAACACCTAGAGGTCAGGAGATGCTAGCTAGGATCATTATTCAAGGATCCCAGTGAATTTTTCAAAACATAATAAAAATAAAAACAAAAAAAGGCAGACAGAATTATAAAAATTGTGGGGCATTTTAAATGTTGTATTGAACACATTAAAGCATTAACAGCCATCCCCCAACCACCACCAAGTCCAAGAAGCCCTGATTCTGCTGTTCACAAGATAACTGCAACTCCAAGGCTCTTAGACTGCTACTTCGGGCGGCACAATTGGCGGGGCGACGCGGCGAGCAGACGGGAGTCTCCATCCCTGGAGGGTCAGCGTCTGGAGACCCCGGCGAAGGCAGCCACAGCGTCGAGACAACGTCCCCGGGGCAGCTACAACCGCCCAGAAAGCCCCGTGCCCGGAAAAGCCTCGGCCCCGGCTGCGACCACCCTTCGGCCACCCGGCAGCCCCAGCCCCTCAGTCTATCCACTCCTGGCGCGCAGCCCCCACTGACCCAGCCCCGCCCCGCCTCGCCTCGCAACCAGGGCCTCCACGGGAACCGCTATTTCCCCAGCGGCGCCCGCTGGGAGCCCAACGCCGCGACGCCCGCCTGACGTCAGGGAAGGGAATCGGCGGCGACGTCTTTAGGGAGCCCGCGAGGGGGCGCGCGCTGGCGGCGCCGCTGTGTGTAAACCAAGACCCACCGGGGGGCGGAGTCTCGCGCGCCCGCGCCACGAGGCTCGGCCAATGGGAATGCGCGCTGCGAGGCCAGGAGGTCTGCGCCGCGGGGCTGAGAACCCGGCGCGCGCCAGCAAATCCTCCCGGAGCCCGCGGGTCCCGAACACGCGCTTGACGGCCCCTGCCGGGCCGGCGCGGCGTCGCCCAGCCAGCCATGGCCCCCGACCCGGTGGACGACGAGACCCCGGCCCAGGGGCCGGCCCCGCGCTACTTCACCTGGGACGAGGTGGCGCAGCGCTCGGGATACAAGGAGCGGTGGCTGGTGATCGACCGTAAGGTGTACAACATCAGCGAGTTCACCCGCCGGCACCCAGGGGGCTCCCGGGTCATCAGCCACTACGCCGGGCAGGATGCTACGGTGAGCGCAGCCAGGCTGGGGCACGGGAGAGGGCGGGGCCGGAGGCTGAGTGCAGGCGAGACAAAGTTACGCACCCTAAGGCGAACACCGACTAATTCGGAGGAAAGCCCGGAGGCGCCCGAGCACACCTGTGGCTCAGTGGTTGGGTGTCCCGCGGCCCCGGGATGCAAGGGCGGGAGAGAGGCCTGAGAAGTGGAGTCTGGGGAGTGAGGATGGAGGCCAGCAACACGCACACGCAAACAAAGGGCCCCGCCGCCCAGCCGCGCATTCCGTCTGCAGCCCGGAGCCTCGGGTCTTGGGGCTGGGATAGGACCCCCAGCTGGGTGAGCTAGGAAGGAGGAAAGCAAGGATGTCGGGCGCCTGGGGAGGAGGGGTCAATGGCTGGGGGAGGGACTGGGTCCAGCGCAGCCGCGTCTGGACCTCGGTTCCGGGCTCCACTCGCGAGCAAGGGCTGTGAGGGAGCAGGAGAGGAGCCCATTCTCGAGGATGGGGCTGAAACGGGAAGCTTGGGGACCCCGTTGCCCTGGGGACCCCTGCGTCGGGTGAAGACTGGAGGACGCGGAAGGGACAGCACTGTCCGGGGAGGGCAAGGGGCGGCTGGTGCACAGAAGGTATTGAGAATGGCATACACTTAGCGAGGACCCCCGGAGCAGTCCTCGAATCTCCAGGGAGGCCACTGAGCCGCAGGCCAGCGAGGTCTTCAGCGATTCCGCCGAACAGACCGCTGTTTACACTCCGGGGCTGTAGGCCCTTTGCGGGGCCAAGTCCCTTCCTCCCTTGGTCTCACTGCGGGGTCGGCGCGCGCCCCAGCCCCGGCCTGCTGCTGCTTTTTCTGGACCACAGCCCTCAGAGCTGAGGCCCCGGCACCTCTGCTGGCTTCGAGTGCTAGGGACTCAGCCCTAGGGACTCCAAAGTCGGGGCGTTTGCTTCACCTCGTTTCCCCCTTGGCGACCGGAATGGCGTCCCCTTCCCTTGCATCCCTCTCTGATCCCGTGCCCTGCAGCGTGACACCCTCCACTGTCTATCTCCTGGCGTCCCAGAGTGTGCCGCGGGTCACCAGGATTCCCTTAACGTCGCAGCAGAGCTTAGATGCTGCGCGGCGAAGGCCCGCCCCACCCTCTGACGCGACCAGCCTAGGGGGCGAGGCCAGGGCCTGTGTGGGTAACCCCGAGTGACCACTCGGGAGCCCAGAGAGCGGCTGAGGGCGCAGGCGTGGGCCAGCGCATGCGCAAACGGACCAGGCACCGACGCTGGGGCTTCCCGCAGAGTGATTTGGGGCCGGGGATGCCGCGGCGGGGACGGCGATTGGTCCGGATGCGTGGTGCCACCGGCCGCCGGCTCCGCCCTGGCCCTCGCCCCACACGCCTCATCACCTATAGGGTCTGGGGCTGCCAGACTTGCGGACGTGAATCTTATCGCCGTGGACCTTACCTTGCACAACCCAAATTAGCTCCCTCAGGGCATGGGGTGGCCAGAGTGCTTGGGAAATGTGGGGCCCTATCCAGAACAACGGTGGAAGGACGGGGAAGAAATGCAGAAGTGCCCCAATTCGGACGTAGGGAAGTCTTCGAGGTTTTTGGAAAACCCTAGCTCAGAAAGGAAAGGGACTTGTTAAAAGTCCACAAAAAGAGACGGAAGTCTCATAGCCCCGCCCGTCCCTCCAGTTTCTCACCTATACTGAAATTCTTGGGCAAAAGTTGTGTGCGAACACACCCAGGGGAAAGGCCAGCCCAGGCAGGTGTTCCTTGGTGGTCCTCCTCAGCCAGTGCTTCCCATTCCCTGATGCACCCTTCTAACGAGCAGATGCTGGGTGATCTTGAACTGTGGACACCTGGGAAGGGTATGAGCACCCTTAAAGGGCAGCTTGGCCGAGAGAGGTGGCCTGTGCTTCACCTTAGGTATAGCCTTCTGGTGGTCAGGAGGATGGCCTTTGGTGCGAACCCTGCCAGAGTCCAGAGAGCTGGCTCCCTCACCATCTCTCCCCCAACTTGCAGGATCCCTTTGTGGCCTTCCACATCAACAAGGACCTTGTGAAGAAGTATATGAACTCTCTCCTGATTGGAGAACTGTCTCCGGAGCAGCCCAGCTTTGAGCCCACCAAGAATGTGAGAGCCTCGGTTTGCTATGTGGCGACTCTTGGTTGCTGAGGGAGACAGGGAGTGGGTAGAAGGAGCGTCTAGCTGGGATCACAGGTAATCACAGTCAGTAGTAGTTCTGGGGAGTCTGAGGTCCCTGCTTCTCTTGCATAGTCATGAGGTCACCCGCCCAAGGGAGCAAGGCTTTGCAAGCTATGGCTTCCCTGAGTCTGCCACTACCATGGCTACCATCATTGTTATCATCATCAATATGAGCACTTATATGCGCCAAGCATAAACTCCTAATTCTCACACATTTACAGATAACAGGCTCAGAGAGGTTAAGCAACAGTCAAGGATCACACCGTTAGTAAATGGCAGAGCAAGGACTGAAGTCAGCTGAACTCTTAGGCACTATCCCATAGCACTTCCTCCTATCATCCTCATTGTTGTGGTGTCTTTGCCTAGGACTGTGGACTTCCCACAGCTCCCTCAGTGGGAGGTCCTTGAGCCTGAGAGGGCCCTTGTCTCCAGCAGTGCTGGGCTGCAGATGGGAAGAATAACAGCTCTTCCTCCTCTTCTGCAGAAAGAGCTGACTGATGAGTTCCGGGAGCTGCGGGCCACAGTGGAGCGGATGGGGCTTATGAAAGCCAACCATGTCTTCTTCCTGCTGTGCCTGCTGCACATCTTGCTGCTGGATGGTGCAGCCTGGCTCACCCTTTGGGTCTTTGGGACGTCCTTTTTACCCCTCCTTCTCTGTGCAGTGCTGCTCAGTGCAGTTCAGGTGAGAGCCTTTGACTTGTCAAATGCACAGCAATGCTCAGCATCCCTGGAGAAAGTTCCTTGGGCCCTTGGAGGAAGGCCAGGAAGCCCTGCCTTCCAGGTAGGCAGATCTGCAGGTGTGTGGGAGAGTGAAGCAGGAACATGCATTCCACTGTCTTGACCTGTCTCGGCTCTTTAGCCGAATGGACATCTTCATTTCTCTCACTGCTTTTTTAGCTGCTTCTCCCAGGGTTTCCTTCTCCCTGCACAGTTTGTTCTCTAAAATTTCACACGCGGTTTACTCTCTGCCACAGTCCAACTGTGCCAAGAACCAAGTTTTTGGTTCTTAATAAAGCTTGGCTCCCTCCCTACCACTGACATTACCCAACATGTTAATAATGATTGAACGCTAATTCTTGGCTGTCAGAACCCATTTGGCAAGGCTTCTGCTCATATTTGAGTCCTTTCTGTATTCTGGATCTCAGTCCATCATAAGCCATGAGCTTCAGGCTCATGCCTGTAATCCCAGCGCTTTGGGAGGTCAAGGTGACCAGATCACTTGAGACCAAGTGTTCAAGACCAGCCTGGCCAACATGGTAAAACCTGTACTAAAAATACAAAAAGGCCATGTACAGTGGCTCACACCTGTAATCCCAGCACTTTGGGAGGCCGAGGCGGGAGGATCGTTTGAGGTCAGGAGTTCGAGATCAGCTTGGCCAACATGGTGAAACCCCATCTCTACTAAAAATACAAAAATTAGCTGGGCATGGTAGCAGGTGCCTGTAATCCCAGCTACACAGGAGGCTGAGGCAGGAGAATTGCTTGAACCTGGGAAGCAGAGGTTGCAGTGAGCCGAGATGGCACCATTGAACTCCAGCCTGGGCAACAGAGCAAGACTCTGTCGTAAAAGAAACAGACCAGGTCCAGTGGCTCATGCCTGTAATCCCAGCACTTTGGGAGTCCAAGGCTGGTGGATCACCTGAGGTCAAGAATTTGAGACCAGCCTGGCCAACATGGTAAAACCCCATCTCTACTAAAAATACAAAAATAATTAGCCAGGTGTGGTGGCTAGCACCTATAATCCCAGCCAATCAGGAGGCTGAGGCAGGAGAATTACTTGAACCTGGGAGGTGGAGGTTGCAGTGAGCTGAGACCGTGCCACTGCACTCTGTCCCGCCTGGGGAACAAGAATGAAACTCGGTCTCAAAAAAAATACAAAAAAAAAAAAATAAGTCATGATCTTCAGAGCTGGCAAAACTGAAGACCAGAGAAGGGATTGTGATTTGCCCCAACCCACATGTGAGTCAGTGGCAGAGGCAGAGCTAGGACCCATGTTTCCTGACTCCTGAGGTGCATCACCGGCCTTGGCAGATGAGGGAAGTGGGAGAGGCTGAAGGAGGCATCGAGGTCAGTAAAGGGGACACTGGGGCTGGTGGGCTGCTCTCAGCATTGACTCTTCTCACCCAGGCCCAGGCTGGCTGGCTGCAGCATGACTTTGGGCACCTGTCAGTCTTCAGCACCTCAAAGTGGAACCATCTGCTACATCATTTTGTGATTGGCCACCTGAAGGTCAGTGGGATGGCAGGGAGGGGCTCTCTGAAACTCCAGGCAATGAAAGGCTGCCCTGGGGGAAAGGGGCACTAGATTTTCATACTCATTTCCCTGCTTTTATGTAGGGGGCCCCCGCCAGTTGGTGGAACCACTTGCACTTCCAGCACCATGCCAAGCCCAACTGCTTCCGCAAAGACCCAGACATCAATATGCATCCCTTCTTCTTTGCCTTGGGGAAGATCCTCTCTGTGGAGGTGAGTGGAGGTATCAGTGGAAAGGTCTTGGGGAATAGGAGGCAGCGAGCATGCGGGGTTTTGGGGAGATGCCCACAATGTTGTCAGTGTGGGCGAGACACTGGGGGGCTGGGCTGGCTGGGGCTTTTGCCATTTTGGAAGTTCTGGAAGGCAACAGGCAATAAACAGGGACTGCCCAGGAGGGAATCACCATCTTCCCTAGAGAGTTCAGTCAGCAAAGAGTTACTGCATAAAAGGCACCACTGCAAAGTAAAAAGCATAAAAGGCATCCTTCTGCAAATGATCCAGAGGTTGACCAACATCCTCTGGCCAACATGGTGAAACCTGTCTCTACTAAAAATACAAAAATTAGCCGGATCCAAAGGATGAGATGCCTCATCCTTGAAGGTGCTGCTGGCACCTCCTGGGGGTGCTTTTTTGACACTCCTGCCCCAGGCAAGCATTCCCCTTGCACTTTGTATTTCTCTCTCACACTTAGGTACCCTGCTTGTCACAGTCTTCTCTGTCCAGGGCTGGACAGTCTTAGTCTTCTTTGACGTCCAGCGTCTGGAACATTCATTTACTGAGTACTTCTTCGCACCCTCCTGATCCCAGCCTGACTTCCAGGGTGGTCAGCATTGGGTTTGAGTTGTCATCAGAGGTTGTGAACGGTAGCTGCTACAGGAATGATGCCTGGGGGTGGAGATCTGGTGAGCTTTTAGTGAGCATTAGCCAATGGAAGGATCTGAAAGGCCAGCAGAGTTCTTTGGAAAGTTAATTTAAAGCCCTTTGTCCCAAGGCTCCAGGCTGTAGAGTTCTGCCAGGTCCCCCTCCTCCACTTTGTAACACTTTAGCTTGCCAAGAATTAAACTGTTGTTAAAACCCATTTCAGTTCTAGGCATGAGTTTTCAGGGCTCTCCTCTCGCCCCTGGCCATGAGAACTTTGAAAGAGCTTTGGCAGCACTGGCTGGCCTGGCATGAGGAGCTCATAGCTTGAGGCTCATGCCCGACCTGTCCATAATGTTCTTATTTTCCCATCTCACGAGCATGGACTTGGGTTTGTTACGTGTCCAACACCATTATGGTCCATAGTGTGCAGATGGTGAAGCAGCCCTGCCCCCCATCTGGTCAGGTGGCTGCTTCAAAGACAGTGTGGTTATTCACTGGACAGTAGTGTGGAGGTTGTGCATTTCTACTGTCACTACAGAGGGTTTAAAAAAAAGACATGGGGCTGGATGTGGTGGCTCATGCCTGTAATCCCAGCACTTTGGGAGGCCAAGACGGGCAGATCACAAAGCCAGGAGTTCAAGACCAGCCTGACCAACATGGTGAAACTCCATCTCTACTAAAAATACAAAAATTAGCCGGATGTGGTGGCAGGTACCTGTAATCCCAGCTACTTGAGAGGCTGAAGCAGGAGAATTGCTTGAACCCAGGAGGTGGGGGTTGCAGTGAGCTGAGATTGCACCACTGCACTCCAGCCTGGTGACAGGGCAAGACTCTGTCTTAAAAAAAAAAAAAAAAGGAGCTCCATCCATTTTTCCTCCTTGAATGGCAAATGCCTTTATGATCCCTGTAACTTACCCCATTATGTTTAGACTCTTGGTGATCAGAAGGATTCTCTTTAGGGCAGCGTCCCCTGCCCCTCCTTGTCCTCCAGGAATTTCAAGAGGCACTGACATGGATGTCACGGGGTCAGCACAGGTATCAACATCCGCAGAGGGATGGAACCAAGCAGCCTATTGCCCAGGCATTCACTAATGGGCAGCCTATCCTCAGCCTCATAGCTGGCAGGGGGGAAGAAAGGCTATTTTGGGTCCCAAATCTTTTTTTTTTTTCCCCTAAGATGGAGTCTCGCTCTGTTGCCCAGGCTAGCTTAAATATTCCCGCTATATCTAGGCCCTAATTCTCTCCATCCAATCTCTTGACTTCAACATGAGCTTTATCAAATCCCCTCGAGGCTAGTTAGAGTTTGGCAAATGTTTCTGGGGACACCAAGAACAATTTGGCAATTTGAAGGTTCCGGCAGTTGTACTCCCAGCTTACAAGTACTCAGAACAAGACAGCAAAGCTCTGTAGGCTGGGATTACAGGCATGAACCACTGCACCAGCCTCTGTTTACAAATTTATCACCAGCTTCATCTCCTCAGTTATAAGCTCCATGAGGGTGGGAAGTCTGTACCGTTCACCCCTGTCCTAAGCATCTAGAACATTGCCTGGCACACAGTAGGTACTCAAGTACTTGAATCTGTTAATGTAGAAAGGATGCTTCATCTAGCTGAGATGCCTTGCACAGAATAAGCTCTCAATAAATAGCTGTGGACACATGGAAGGGTGAGCAGAGTTCTGCTTAGGGGATGGGTGCTCGTCTTATGCCCTTGTGGTTGTCTAGTTACCTGAACTGATGGGTGTGCGATGCAGACATAGTCATGGAGTGAGACAGCAGAGCTTTGCTGTCTTGTTTGTGAGCCCACGCCAGGGGCCCTAGGCTGGTTGGTTGACCTGGTGGCCCCAGCCTGTGTCTTCAGCAGCTCGGCTTATAAAAAAATAACCGCCACCTACTGGAGAAAACTGCTGGGACCTTCAGATTGCCAAATTGTTCTTGGTGTCCCCAGAAGTATTTGCCAAACCCTAGGCTTAAAGGGATTTGATAAAGCTCATGTTGAAGTCAAGAGGCCAAAAGATTTTGGTGGAGAGAATTGGGGCCTGGATATAGATGGAATATTTAACCTGTATAGGGGTAAATATGGTTGTCCATGGAGATTCCGATGTCAAAAAAGGTACCAGATGGCAGAAAGCGGAGAGGGCAGTGGGGCCTGAAAACCTCATGACAAAGAGGGTGAACACAAGAGGGCCTGTGGTCCTGTACAGCCCGTGCTGTGCACATCCCTCATGAGCATGGGCCATCTGGCTGCAGGCCATGGTGTGACAGGCTCTGCAGATGACAGCCCAGGGCTTCATGTTCCATGTGCTGGATGTAAGGCTGAGCCTGTTGGAGCTTTCTAATAGCACCAACAAGCTGTCAGCCCTGGAGGAGGCCGAAACTTCCAAGCGGGGAAAGGCCAGGGTCACTGAGGGAGGGGGATGGTTCGCTGGTCTCTGAATGCTGATTGGTTTGCGTTTCTTCACAGCTTGGGAAACAGAAGAAAAAATATATGCCCTACAATCACCAGCACAAATACTTCTTCCTGAGTGAGTGTCCCCATCCAACACAGGGGAGCTGCTTCAGGAGGGAATGCTGAGGGAATGAGGAGGATGTGGCTCTCCGAGGGATTATGGTATTTTAAGGAAAGGGGCTGGAGGAAGTACCCCACCCCCAGTTACTCCCTACATGAGAGCAGTTTGCCATCTTAACTGAGCGAAGTGAACACTTAGGTTGATGTTTGGTTGAAGGTCATTTGGTTGAGGGCAAACTAGTTCCTCCCATCCAACCCCAGTTTCTACTAAGAAGCTGGGTGTTTGGGGTATAAGAGGGGCCTCTTGCTTTATCCTTCAAGCTTCAACCTTGTCAAACAGAGACCTGGGCCAAGGTGACCTGGTAGAGCCCAGTCCAACCCCCTAGAGGAACAAAGGTACGAGTAGTTCTGGAAGGATGGGTCCTAAGGAGACAGTGGAAGAGCTGTTAGAACTGAGAAGACCTTTCTGATGACTGCTATATTGCTATATATCCCCAGCTTTTAAAGTCTGTCCCAGCTACTAGGGAAATTAAGGTGGGAGCATCCCTTGAGCCCAGGAGTTTGAGGCTGCAGGGAGCTCTGATTGTGCCACTGCACTCCAGCCGGACAACAGAGTGAGATCCAGTCTTTTAAAACAACAACAACTCTGCTCCCTAATGCCTAAAATGAGCTTTAAACTCCTTTAAAATTTCAAAATTTTTAAAGAAGGACGGGAAGGAGCCCACTGGTCTTATTTTAGTTTGAAGGAATTATTCTAACTGCCTATCACCAACTATCACTAATAGAGAAAGGTGGGCGAGGCAGAGGGTAAAGCAGAAACCTCTGGAAGAAATAATTTTAGAACCCATGGCATATCAAGATGGAGGAGCTGAGATGGGCATTGTCATGCTAGAGGTTATAGGTAGCATTAGGTGCCACAGAGAAGGGATACAGAAAAGGCAATGAGGCAGCATGTAGAATACAACTTCTTCAACTCCCAGTTTTCTTTCTAAAGAGGCCCCTCTGTTCCTTCCCACAACTGACCTCCAGGGCTTCAGATTGGGGTGGCACAAGCCCATCTCCCCAGTCTAAGGCGCTGAGCTTCACAGCCTGTGAAGGATCCGCAGGGTCCCTCCCAACACACACACGCTTTCCTGCCCCTGCCCCTTCACCTGATTGGTGGAGCAGCCAGGAACAAAGGACAGATAACGGCGGCGACAGGGCTGTGGACCAGGGTAACTCAGAGAGCATTAGCACCCTTTTAGAGGCGTGGGATCCACAGGGTGCATATGTAGAAAAGAGAAGAAAAATGAAAAATAACAGGTGTGGGAGTAGAGCAAGTCCCATGCTTGGGGCCTGAGTCCCAAGCTGCCTGTCACTGAAGGGTGCCACTCGCACCCCTCACCTTCCCTGGCATCCTCTTGGGAGCTTTTGCCTTCCAGACTTGGATTTATGCCCACCCTCAGTGCCCGCTGGTTCCAGTGGATTGCAGAGCGCTTAGACAGCTGGAGGAGAGACAGGGATAGATGGAAGGGGCAAGCCCCTGCTAGAGGCCATCTCTCCAGCATCCACTGGCCCTTTCATGACCTTACTATGCTCATGCTGCCTCTTTGTCTCGGTTTCCTCCCCAGTTGGGCCCCCAGCCTTGCTGCCTCTCTACTTCCAGTGGTATATTTTCTATTTTGTTATCCAGCGGAAGAAGTGGGTGGTGAGTATCCATGGCCCAAGAAGCCCATGTCCTTGTCTCCAGCACCCAGAGTAGGGGATCAGGGTTCCCCAGGGCAAACTGAAACTGACTACAGGCCTAATTTAGAGCCAAATAATCGAACCAGGAACAGATCCTCCTTACCTCTAAGTGGGACAGAATGATTTCAGCTTAGCAGGCACCTGATTCCCAATGTGCAATTTCATGCAGCCAGTATCTCCTGAGGTTCTTTGCTGGCATAATGCCAGGGGGCTAGGCTAGGAACAGGGATGATGAATGAGAGACAATACTGACTTTCAAGGAAACTTCTGATGAAGCAGAATGTGGTTGTTGATGGAAAGCAGGTACAGGCAATAGGTTCTCGGGACTCCAAAAGGGCTCTGACTGCACCTGCCTTTGTGAAGTCACTGTTCTAGCCAGCCTAGAGGCTGGGCAGGGTTTCTGACAGGCAGAGGTGGGGCAGTGGGGATGAACTCCAAGCAGAGAAACTGGAAATGAGGGGTAAGATTGAGCACCAGACATACTGTGGAGGACTCAGGTGTCAGGGGAATAGTATGGTGCTTGGCTCAGTGTACAGAAAAGTGATGAGAGGTGTGATCAGGGCGCTGGCAAGGACTGAGCCATGGTCCTGGGAGATTCATTTGGCAGCATGCTGAAGGATTTAAGTGGGCTGGGAAGAGCCAGAGGCAAGGAGACCTTGTAGGCCTTGGTACTTTTGAAGGGGATAGGCAAGAAGGGCTGGAGGTGCCAGTGGGAATGGAAGAAAGGAGCAGTGGCACTAGATATTGCAGGACTGGACCCCTGAGAAGCTGAAGATGACCGAGTCTGCACACCCAGGAGAATGGCTGCACCATGCAAAGAAAGAGCTGGTGAGAGGAAGAGGAAGAGCTGTTTGTGACTGTTACGATCTCTGCTTTTCTCACTTAAGGACTTGGCCTGGATGTTGACCTTCTATGCCCGCCTCTTCCTCACTTATGTGCCACTGTTGGGGCTGAAAGGCTGCCTGGGCCTTTTCTTCATGGTCAGGTAGTATTGGGTGGGGGTGGGTAGGGACTGGTGAAGGAAATGTTGGGGAGTGACCAGTCTGGTCGAGCCATGACCATACCAGGTTTGGGTGTGGTGTCACCAGCCTGGTTAGCCAAGTGGCTTTGAGCTGAGGCTGCCCAATCTGAGCAAACACCAGTGAGGCTCTATTGAGCCAAGACCAGGTCCCCATGCTGGGGCTTTGGGTAACAGTGGGTGTTTCGGAAGTTGGCTTGGGAAAGTAGACAGGCTGGAGTAGTTACCTGAGGAGGAAGCAGAACTCCGGGCTCTGTGTGTACTGTTTGTGTAACATATCCAACAGGTTCCTGGAAAGCAACTGGTTTGTGTGGGTGACACAGATGAACCACATCCCCATGCACATTGATCATGACCGGAACATGGACTGGGTCTCCACCCAGGTAAGGGACAGTCACTCACAAGACTGGAGCATAACACCATTATTGAAAAGGGTGGGTAGGTGATAATAGCAAAAACAAAAAAAGTTCCCCAAGCAGCAATTTTTCATTAGCTTGAGGCTTTTCTTCTGCCACCACGTGAAGGAAGTGACCAAGACAGTCTTATGTCCCCTCCTTAGCCAGCTTTACCTGGAGAATGCTGGGCTGGCCTTTCCATCTCATACTCAGACATGCTCTCCCTTGACCTTTTCCTTCAGCTCCAGGCAACATGCAATGTCCACAAGTCTGCCTTCAATGACTGGTTCAGTGGACACCTCAACTTCCAGATTGAGCACCAGTGAGTAGGGAGCCTGGGAAGCAGGGTCCTGGGGAGGGTGTAAGTGTAGGGTGCAGGTGAGAGCAGAAAAGCAGGAACCACTGACTCCCCGCTGTTCTCCCTGAAGTCTTTTCCCCACGATGCCGCGACACAATTACCACAAAGTGGCTCCCCTGGTGCAGTCCTTGTGTGCCAAGCATGGCATAGAGTACAAGTCCAAGCCCCTGCTGTCAGCCTTCGCCGACATCGTCCAGTGAGTATCTGAGCCCAGAAAGATGGCCGGTAGGGAGGGAAGAGGGCAGGGCAATGGAAATAGTGACATGTGGGGTGGGGAGTACCAGAAGGTGTTCCCGGCTGTGTGGGATGGAGTCCACCGTGGCAAAGGCAGGAATCTCTGTTGGTCCTGTGGCCAGGTCAGGCCTTTGTTCTCAATGGGGTTCCCCTCAGTACCACGGCGCAAGCTAACTTGCTCTAAAGTAGAGGGGAGGAAAGGCTCCAGATGAAAGAAGGCCTTAGCCCCAGTGCTCCATCTCTGGTGGGCTCAGCTCCTCCTGTCTCACTGTCTGCCCCCGTTTTGTCCCTGCAGCTCACTGAAAGAGTCAGGGCAGCTCTGGCTAGATGCCTATCTTCACCAATAACAACAGCCACCCTGCCCAGTCTGGAAGAAGAGGAGGAAGACTTGAGCCAAAGCAGAGGGGAGCTTGAGGGACAATGCCACTACAGTTTAATACTCGGGGGGGGGTGGGTTTGGGGACATAAAGGCTCTGACTCACACTCCTCCCATTTATCTTCTAGACACAGTTCTAAGACCCAAAGTGGGGGGTGAACACAGAAGTCCCCCAGAAGGAGTGAAGGAGCTGTTGGGGCAGGGGCATAAAAAGTTTTTCCCTTTTCTAGTTTGGCACATGCAGGTGGTTGGTGAGCAGAGGGAACCTGGAGGGCAGTAGAAGGGGAGGGACCTACCGAACCCAGAGTCAGGAAGAGATTTAACACCAAAATTCCACTTGGGCATGGTGGCACACGCCTGTAATCCCAGCACTTTGGGAGGCCAAGGCAGGCAGATCATGAGGTCACGAGTTTGAGACCAGCCTGACCAACATGGTGAAATCCCGTCTCTACTAAAAATACAAAAATTAGCTGGGTGTGGTGGCAGGCATCTGTAATCCCAGCTACCCAGGAGGCTGAGGCAGGAGAATCACTTGAACCAGCGTGGTGGAGGTTTCAGTGAGCCAAGATCATACCATTGCATTCCAGCCTGGGCAGCAGAGTCAGACTCCATCTCAAAAAAAATTCCACTCATAAAGGGTGAGCTCAGCTCACTGGTCCACTTCTCAGTGCCTTCTCCATCCTCACTTGCAAGCCTCAGAGGGATAAAAGCAGTTGAACCTGTTGAGCAAGAATTAGAAAGGAAGCATGAATGCTTAGAATTCTGAGGTCTGGCACAAATCAGTGCCTGGGAGCTCAGCTCACTGCCCAGGGATAGGTGTGACCTGTGTCTGCCTCAGGTTGCTGGGAGAAGCCATTCTCCAGTTTCAGAGGTAGGCAGGGCAAAGGTCAAGACTTTTGGCTTTGAAGGATCCTGGAACCACTGATTTTGGTTTATTCCCTCCAGGGTCTAAAGAGAACAAGAGGTGCTAGTTCTTACCAAAACAGATGGTAGAGAGAGTTGCTGGCTATTGAAAAGCCCCTTCACCTTTTAATTCACCTCTTCTTTTTACCTCTTTAGCCACCCCCCAGGAACAGAACCCTCCTAGGACTGGGAGTCTACTTTTAGCTCCATAAGCAAGTGAGCAGATGGGACACCTTAGTCTTTTCTCCCTAGAAACAAAGCAGATGCCTAGTGGTTTCCCTTTGCTTCCAACCTAAAATTCCAAGCTTACTAACATAGCAGTTAGTGAGCATAAGTGACCAAATTTGGAGACAATTATCAGTCCTGAGGAAAGACACACATTCCGGTCCTAAAGAATGTCAGGGCTATAAGCAGAAACTTTCTATAGCCTAAATGATATTATAGCATTATTTTTGAGCAGGAGCAGAAAGATTAATATGATCACTTCATAGTTCTAAATCAGAAATAGGAAGATTAAAACCACAGAACAGTTTGTGATTGCTATCACTGTGGCTAGGTATCTTACTCTTCTGGAGACCAAATGGGCTTTGGAAGAGATTATCCTAAATTCCTATAAGTGTAATACTGAAATACAACTTTTTAATCTGGTTTTTAAAAGATAAATGCAGTTTAGCCTATACTCCAGAGAGCAACACAGGAATATGTCTCAGGAGGCTTCACTCCTAGGGCTTATCATCAGACCTCACACCCGCTTCCCCCTCTAACCCAAGGCCTTTGCTTCCAGGTGAGGGGATTACTTCTTTGCCTCTTCAGCAGCATCTACTCTAGGCATATTGATCATCTGGGACACTGGTAAAAGAGAACCTCAAACTAGTAGACAGAGCCTACATTTAGTTTTGGGAGGGGACGGCAGACAGTCAAGGAGATGAGGGTCCTAAGGCAGATTGGGATAGGGTCAGAGGCACCACCCATAGAGAGGCTAGAGGTTTGTCAACACAAAGACACAGGAAAAATGGGCTGCAGAAGATTTGCATGTTTTCCATTTGGGCACATTTTGCTTAGCTGGAGAACAGCTTGTTTAAGACAGCCTGGGTGGGAAAATCAGAACCAAGCTGGGTGCAGTGGCTCACACCTGTGATCCCAACACTTTTGGGAGGTCTAGGCAGGAGGATCACTGGGGCCCAGAAGGTCAAGGCTGCAGTGAGCTGAGATCACACCACTGCTCTCCAGCCTGGGGTGATAGAGCAAGACCCTGTCTCAAAAAAAAAAAAAAGAAAACAAATTAGAAGCAGAATTGAGCTGTACCTCATTGGCTTCCTCACTCCAAAATAGGTGCTGATGATTCCCATTCCCATTCCTTGCCACCTAAGGTTTGGGTGTGGTGTCACCAGCCTGGTTAGCCAAGTGGCTTTGGGCTGAGGCTGCCCAATCTGAGCAAACACCAGTGAGGCTCTATTGAGCCAAGACCAGGTCCTCAAAGCACTGGAACCACCATGGCCTTCTCTCCTCAGCCTATAGCAGTGTGGTCTCACATGGCCATGAAGGGACACACAATGACAAAAGGCTCAGAATATTACAGTGGTAAAATGAGTGATCTCAACTTGACCGACAGATGTAAAATAGGCCTAGAGAGGAAAAGGTGCCTCTGGTCACACAGATCTTGGCAGAACTAGTTCCAACTCACTTTTTTTACAACTCTAACTTCTATGTTTATCTTTGCTACTTTCATTTTTTTTACAGCCTGGCCAGAGGCATGTTTTTAAATCAGGCCTGATACCAGTATCCTTTTTGTGTGTGCCAATTTTGTTATCACATCCTGTTGAAGTTGAAAAATAAAGTTAATTTTGACCAAAAGACTTCATTTGTAACCCATGACGCTCATCTGTGTGTATGCAGGATTCCTTGGTGCCTCTGCTACAAGTTACCATTCACTTCTCTGTGCTCTAACTTCTTGAATCACTGCAGACTCCCTTTGTGTAAACTCCTTGGGCAGAGGAAGGAACATCAGGACTCTCAGAAAACACAAAGCAAAGGGTGGACTATCGCAAGGAAGAGCAAAGCCAGGTCCTTCTGATGACTCCCGTGCTCAAATGTGAGACTGTCGATAATCTCACCAAGTTTCATGGTATCACTTCCTGCTATTCATGAGGCAGCGCCCTTCAGTTTTTCATTTTGAATTATTTTCTCTATTTTTACTTACTTATTTTCAGACAAGGTCTGGCTCTATGGCCCAGGCTAGGGTGCAGTGGTGCTGCCATCCGAGCTCACTGCAGTCTCTGCCTCACAGCCTCAAGCCATCTCCCCAGCTCAGGCTAATTTTTTATGTTTTTGAGACCAGAGTTTCACTCTTGTTACCCAGGCTGGAGTGCAGTGTTGCAACCTCTGCCTCCTGGGTTCAAGCAGTTCTCCTGGCTTCAGCCTCCCAGGTAGCTGGGATTCCAAGCATGTGCCACCACACCCAGCTAATCTTTGTATTTTTTGAGACAGGGTTTCACCACGTTGGTCAGGCTGGTCTTGAACTCCTGACTTCACCTGCCTCGGCCTCCGAAAGCGCTGGGATTACGGGCGAGGCACCGCACCTGGCCTCTCTTTACTTTTAAACTCATTTCTAGTTTCCAAATAGTCCCCCTAAGCCCTGTCTGCCTAAATCTTTTTCTGCAAGTGTGACGCCTCAGAGCTGGACTGCATAGCAGTGCCTCTTAATCATCCAACTAGAACAGCTCTCCTGAGCAAAAACATTTGCAGGCAGCATTAATTTTCTCTGCAGTGTGCACACAGAAAGTTAGACTAACTTCTATAGGAGACAAACTTACCTTCAAAAAACAAAAGGAAAACCACTACATTCTTGACTACCACAGGGTATAAGCCCTTAATTATTACGAGCTACTGCACTGAGGAAATAACTCCTAAGAAATCTTACCGTTTTGCCAGGCACACTGGTTCATGCCTGTAATTCCAGAACTGGGAGAGAATGGCACACATAATCCTAGCCTTTTGGAGGCTGAGGTGGGAGGACCGCTTGAGCCCAGGAGTTCAAGACCAGCCTGGGCAACAGTGAAATCCCATCTCTACAAAAAATTTAAAAATATCTAGGCATGGTGGCCTGTACCCGTAGTCCCAGCAGCCTGGGAGGCTGAGGTGGGAGAATTGCTTAAGCCCAGGAGGTTGAGGCTGCAGTGAGCCACGATCGTACTACTAAACTCCAGCCTGGGTGACAGAGCAAAACACTGTCTCAAAAAAGGAAAGGAAAAAATCTTACCGTCTCTACTTCCTGTCACCACCACTATTAACTGCAGGTTTAGAATCAATCTACCTGAATCAGAAAGTAGAGCTCAAATAAGTTGTGTGGCTTGGTACAATCTAGGAAAATCAGTTTCCAAAGTTAGCTGCCCTGGGGAAAGAACTTTCTGTCAACACCAGTTTTCAGAGGCCATTGCTGGGAAGACTTTATCCCATTCAGGCTTCAACCAGAGAAACTGTATATCCTGAAATTTCACATAAGATTACACTTGACGAATAGGTTTCTCCATTAAAAGACTTGAAAACTACTGGTCTTCAGGCTCCTACCTGTTTAATCCGTCAAGACACTGCCAGCTTAAACTTCGGACAGTGACATAAGTGTCCCTGTTAACTTCAAATGGAACTGACAGGGATGCTAAAACATCGAACACTCAAATGGGCCGGTTCCCCACCAAGCTTTATTGGGCTTATAAAACTTCAAAGTTCAAAACCATGCCATCTCTATGGGAAACAGCAACTTAGATTTAATGTTACAAAAGGAACAAGAAAATGGTTTCTGAATGGCAGCTTTCAGTTTACAAGTAGTGGCAAAGTAAATGGTTGGATGTTATGAGGTAGTTGATCTAAATTGTGAGACTTGCTTTTTTTTTTGAGATGGAGCTTCGCTCGTTACTCAGGCCGGAGTGCAATGGCGTGATCTCAGCTCACTGCAACCTCTGCCTCCTGGTTCAAACAATTCTCCTGCCTCAGCCTCCCGAGTAGCTGAGACTACAGGCACGCACCACCATGCCCAACTAATTTTTGTATTTTTAGTAGAGACGGGGTTTCACCATGTTGACCAGGATGGTCTTGATCTCTTGACCCTGTGATCCACCCGCCTCGGCCTCCCAAAGTGCTGGGATTACAGGCTTGAGCCACCGCACCTGGCCTAATTGTGAGGCTTTCTTAAAGGCACTCCTTTGATCTCA